GCCGCCGCAAACTCTCTGAAAAGCTTCTTTGCCGATACTTCGGCCCTTATGAAGTACTCAACCGTATCAGCAACGTCACTTATGAAGTCAGATCCGCGGGACACGTGAGCTCAAGACGCCGCAATACCACGGAAGTGGTACACGTAGTCCGCATGAAGCCCTATCATGACAGATCGTCGAAAAACGAGTGAGAGTACGCATGTATCTTTTCACTGTCTTAAGCATCGGGACGATGCGTCTGAGGAGGGGGATAATGCCGCGACAGGTTGGCGACGTTCAAGTAGCCCGCCGCAATCATCGTGGCAAGAGCACAAGCAAGACCCAGCTGGCATGCGCCACGCGTTCGTGCGCTCCGGCAACGAGGAAGAGGAAGATAGTTGGATCTGTGCCACTCGGCTACTCAGACTGGACGACCATAGTCTTTAGAATCGTGGGCACAAGTTTGCCCTAATAAATACGCTTGTTTTTTTAACCTGTCTGCCTCAGCATCCCTACAATATATATATATATATATAGAGCGTTAATTTGCACACAACACATTGCCATGCCTGAGTATGGGCCGTGCCATAGTATGGACCATAAGTAGGCTTGTGCAAATATTTTAATGCTTCAAATATTTTAACAAACAGTAAAGTATTCAAATTTATTTTGATTCAAATTTAAATTATTGAAAATTTAAAATTAAACAATGAACGAATAGGTGCACAGTAGTCCGCATGTAACTCCCTGTAAAAGGTGGTTTCACAGCAGTGTATGGGTACTAAGCCGTGAAAGCTCGGCTTAGAGAGAAATCCGCTCTACCGTGAAGCCAAACTTTAAATTCAAGCGGGCCCTGCAACACTTTTTGAGCATGGTCAGAAAACGCTGCCGATCGAAAGTTGAGGCTACCAAGAACACATGAGCCAAACATTATAGTGCAGCACGCGGCCTGCAATGCACATAAAATTCTTAATGTCAGTCAAATATTGCTCTCTTTTCTCGACAAATGACGCCACAAGCTCAAAAATCACACATCACAGCCATTGCATCAGACATTGGCTGATTTGAGCATGGCGCGCTCTGTTGTTACAGGGGCTGCCACGGGAGGCTGCAACTTGTCCACGCGTACTTGCGTAATCGCACTGAAAAGCTGTGTACTCGAAAAAAAAAAAAAGAGAAAAAGTGCTCAAGATTACGAGACGCTAGTGACATTTTTTTCCCCATGCCATCCCTCTCTCCTTGACTTCCAGCGCTTTCGTCGGGACGAGAGAAGAGAAAATGCAATCGCAGCGTGTGACAAATCTTTGCAACTCTGCTTGTACTGGACGGATTCTAAAAATTTTTGTGGCAGTGAATTCATGAGGCAATAAGCTTCTTTAGTGAATCCATTCCATGGCTACTTTAAAGGTGTTGCAGGGCCCTTTTGAAAGAACATATTACCCCCAAATCAATCACCAATTTGTTAGGCTTAAAAGCTTGTTACACCGTCTTGTATGCTTCAAGTATAATATATTTTAAAAGTTACGCATTTCGCAGGTTATCACTTGCATCTTACCAAAAGTCAAATCCTTATACTCAAAGTTGTTTCGACTTTCTTTGAACGAAAAATAAAAGACGTTTGTACAAAGGCATTATTTCAATTTTTTGAAATATTGTGCAAGTTAGTTAGATTATGATAAACGTGCCCATTTTTTTATGTTATATATACTAATCAAATTCGATTTGCAATTATTCAACCAAAATCACTATTCACATCAAACCTAAAATGCCCTATTCACACAAGTCTAATCATAACCCCCCTTTTTTTTTTTGGACAAAATTATTGACAAAAAAAATTATTTATGCAATAGTCTCCCTCACCTTTTTAAAACACATGCCAAATTCAGCCACATGGCCATGTTTACTCTGCAACCTACGAACCCCAGTACGAAGCATTTTCTTAGCACTCGAAGTGCAATGACTTGTTAATCTAGTGCTGCTATGAAGGCATTTGTTTCTACTAGGGGTGTGCGTATAGTCAAAGTGGTGCTTTGTCAACAGCGGTTATATAAGACTGTTATATAAGTATTAAGCAAGTTTCAGTACTTAACATTATTGTGAATGTCATGGTAGTGCATTGATATCCGTCATGTCATGTAGTGGATTGATGATGCTGTCGTTTCGGCTACTCTTAAGTGTTATAAACAAAAACGCTTTCATCCTGCAATCAACATTGTGCCAATAGTCCTGTAAGGCTGTACACATCTGGGAGATTCTGGGGTGAAAACAAGTTACCCCTTAGTGTTCCAATGTATCATTCATTCGAGCATTGCTTTTCATTGCTGATTATTTGAAAAATATTAGAATGTCCAGTGTTTCAAATGTGCACTATTCAATTCAAGTACCGAATTCAACAGAACATTATTTGATTTATCATTTGAAATTTTCAAATATTCGCACACCTCTAGTTCCTATGCCTGGCAAGCAATCACTTCTGGTGAAATGTTCACAAGATTATAACAAGATGCGTCAGTGTCTCTAAAAGACTATGTTCCTCCACTGCATTAGCACTGTTGGCACGATGTAAGACTGCCCCGGTCCGTAGCCAGTCAAGCACTTCACAAAAGTACCTCTAAAAGCCATCATTAAACAATAAGGCCGTTGCGTTAGCTCCCAAAAACAATGGCAACGTGATCAGAATCAGACTGGGAAGCGTGCTGTCACATCCAACAGTGATGACGACAACAGACACAGATCTAAAAGGCATTACTCTACCTAAAATGTGTCATAGGTACCATCTTCTAACTTCAAAAAGAGATCTCGCAAGCTATGCTTTTGCTCACAGGAATCCAAAAAACATCATTAGTGTTGTGTGCAATGATTCGACTGAGATCATTAAGCTGGAAATAAAACAAAAACTGCTTTTAATATCAAAATTAAAGGTCTGTGTTATTACACAAGTGCGATCAATGTGCAATGAAATAACAGTCTCATTAATGTGAAAAAAATGTGTATAAAACAAAACCAAGAAATTTCCACACAAATTTCTTTATGAAAGAGCAACCCTTACATGAGTCTTCAAGGTGCTCAGGTACAGTTGTGTATAGCCAACATTTCTACGAGCTTGAGGATAAGTAGAGTTCCGCTATACGGTTCGACAAAATTTCAACTACAACAAATAGTTTTCAATTCCCCGTTAACAACTCATAGACGCTCATAGAAAATATTGGGGAAAATGTCTCGTCCCAACGAATACTTTTCCTGAATAGTACTTCCGTTTTAACGAAGTTTTTGCGAGTACTGCGGCATAATGAAAAAAAACTTGCCTAGAATTGCTGCGAAATTCCGCTACCAACTAAGCCATTTCTCGTTGACTCGTAACACTCGAGGGTGTGACCGCATCGCAACCCAGATGTATTCATTGGAGGCACACTTTCTGCCGGCCACCACATGCGCATTGCGGTATTTTTCGTCGTTAAAATGCTCAGCGACCGACCCTTCTCCTTTCAAAAAGAGAAGGGTCTCTCCTTTTGAACAGAGAGACCCTTCTCCTTTCAAAACCGCATGCGGAGAGAGAGGAAAAAAGAGAAAGCTGTCATGGAAAGTCCTCCTTTCTCGGTGCAGAGGGTAGCAGCCATGGTAGCAGCGGAAACGCAGTCATTGCTGTCGTGAGAGGGAAATCGCTTTGCACCGCGGCACTGCTTCTCAGTAATGTGACCCGCTGAGAGCTTCCTCAATCCTCTCCGCCGGCTGTGCGAAGAGGACGGCTCTCTCGGCCGTGTGGGGCATGGCTGTAAGGTCGGCGCGGGAGTTTTGAAAGAGTCACGCCTAACAAGCGTCGAACTCCGCAGAAAACAATATACTTAACACACTACGGTCGTTTTTTTTTTTATTGACTATTTGATAGACTGTTTGACAGACTAATTTAGTTTGTTATATTCATTTACCAGTCAATTTTACTTCTTTACAATGAGGTTTAAAATTCAAAGTACTCAACGCAGCTTTCAAAAGAATTTCATTTACTTCGTTATATCCATTATTTCGTTATATCCCATTACATTATAACGAAGTTTGAGTGTATTTTGTAACCCTTTTCCTGCTCTCTATAAGGAATGAGCCGTTCTGCGTTCCTGCCTCTTCTTGGTATGGCCACACAATTACCTCTTCACTTACAGCAAAAGGTTGAGCGCCCTCACAATGCATGCATGCACAGACGACTCTGTCACATCAAGCCTGCTTGCAATTGTCGCACCGTCTTTCATGACAAATTGAAACTAGGCTTGTGTGAAAAGTGAATTTTAGGTTCGGAGCATTTTCGAAGCGAATAATAATTTTGGTCAAAATAATTTTGATTAGAATTTGCATAGTATACAGCACATGTTATAAAATTATAAAGGAAAATGGGCATATTTGTCATGACTGTGCAAGCAACTTTTTTTTTAAGAGAAGTGGAAACAACTGAATAGTGGCAAGACTTGATTTTTGATAGAATGAAAGTGATAACCTGTAAAATACGCTACGTCTTAATATTTACTATGCTTAGAGCATATAAGCCAGTACAACAAGCTTTTAAACGTAAAACATTATAAATTATGTGAGGGAAATATGTCCATTTAACTTTGATCTGGGGCTTCGTGGCAATACGGATTTCCAATAGGAGTTTTCAAAGCTTAGCACTCCACTACAGTGAAACCACCTTTACAAAAGTTACACGCAGACTAACCTACATTTATTTGTCCCTTTTGAATACTCCAAAATTTTCAATAATTTTAATTCAAATCGAAGCGACTTCGAATACTCGCACAAGCCTACTCAAAATGATGAGTATTCTTGGCATTGATTCCCATGCTCCATGCGTGGGCCTCTGAAGAGAATGATAGTCGACTAGAACCGTCAACCCTCAGTTGGTCATTGGGCATAATATGTACCCCTGGAACTGCTAGCAAAAAGTGCCTCTAGTGCTCAAGGGGACATAGACTCAAAAACAGACTAAGTTAAACAGAGGAATTTAATAGCACAGAAAGTGTTTTGCAATTAGTTACCTTGTTCAGTTCCCTCCTAATGTGCTTGGGTTTGTACTGCTCCTGGGACTTTGCAAAACAAAGTGCGTCCATGGCGACCACCTCTGTGTATCTCCTCTCCCAAGGGTCCCTGGAGAAACACAGCAATGCTCAGACAACCACAAGGCGAGCATAAGGACACGCAAGCACAAATAAAAAGGCACTAAAGAGAAAAACTATTTTCTTGTATTAGTAAATTATTACTCTTTTACATTTCCAAAACCACTATGCTCACTGTGAACAGACGGTCGGTAAGCGATGAAATGTTCAAATAGAAAATGCAGGTGGTGATGCCACCTTCAAATTTTTCCACCAAACAACACGATATCATGGATTTTGACAACGTCTACTAAGTCCGTTGCAGTTCTTAGACAGTGAAAACGAAACACATTATCCTCTGTACTTTATACAATACTACTACTACTACTACTACTACTACTACTACTACTACTACTACTACTACTACTACTACTACTACTACTACTACTATATTACAGTACATTATACTCAAGTCAAGATGATTAGTTAAAATACCAAGAACAAAAAAAACTTTTCAGGGCAAAATCCCCAAATTATCAAAAATGTACTATGAAATCTGCGATGTCACGTGCAGAGTTTACAGCACAAACTGTGACCTTGATTATTGCCTCTAATATTAGACCTATCATAGTAAAATTAACAAGATTAAAGCTCTCGGAGTAGAAATTTTTATCCAGTGGCCGTGGTTAACCAATTCATTATTTTGATTTATTGGCCCTTTAAACCGCTGCTATGCTTTGGTTGGAATCAACAGTAAAAGTTCCAACAGACAAGCCCCTACACAAGGATTTTTAATGAAGTTTTGGCTGCTGTGAACTGCTTCTCAACCACCAAAATGTTACGCAACAAGCTTATAAGGGGGCCATCCACTTCACACAAACCTTTGCATGACTCAGTTAGGTTGTAACATATGGAATAATAAACTGAACCACAGCAAAACTTCCACCCACCCTAGTACATAAGCATTTGTGCTTTCCTACTTCGCTGAAATGTGGTCATTATGGCCGAGAATATAGATCGTGGCCAACAGAACATTGCCACAACCACCGAATCATAAACAAAGCCAAAGCTTGGTGCGATAATAAGTTCTTTTAACATGTACACATCGCTCGCTTACATTATCACACAACATGATCAAAGATGCCAACTAATTCTGCATGCACGGTGGTGAAGCTTGCCTGTCTAGTCAAGATGAAGCATAGTGAATCTACTAGTTGATCACGCTGGCTTAACAATGTGGCTAAACAAATACAAGCACTAGATATCCCATGAGATAACCGCTTTCATCTGCCGACAGAAAGCAGGGCAAGCAAAGTGATTCAACAAGATAACAAAAGGAGCTGTTATTTTTATGAGCTAACACTCACACAAGAAACACCCGAGTAGATGGAATAGCAAATGAGAAATTGATTTAAGACAATGCACGTATTTCTTGAAAATAGGCAAGGGTCAATAATAAAAGCAAACAAAAGGAACGCGGTATTCACTGCAAGCAATTGTCAGCAACATTAGCAAAGAACACGTTTGTTCCCAATGCATGGTAACAAGCACAATCTACAACATATTGCTTGGAGTTTGTCCAGACGTAGTGAACTTTTCTTTTTAGAACATTCTTTTTTATTATTGTTAAAGTATCTATGAATATCCTGAATTCAAGTTTATCCTCAAAAACAATTCAGTTGTTAATACTCTTAGATTTCACCTCTTACATAGTTTTTCACACCTTTATTGTATTTAGAGCACAGGTAAGAACATTTACAATAAAATGATGCCAGTATATAGCAGGTTTGCTAAGGTTTTATGCGCCAACATCCACCCCATTTCACAGGTAAGCATAAAATAATGAGAAGTGTTCGAGGGGCTTGTTTTTTTTGTTGTAGTTGTTATTGGAGATGACTAATGAAACCAACAGGCAGTTAAGCTAATAAAAGCATAGCAGATATTACCTATTGTTTTTTCTAACTGCAGTATAATGACTCTTGCCCTAAACTGAAAGAAACTAAAGTGAATGAAAAACCACACCCTTTCAATCACTGGGATCAGAATCCACAACTCTCGAACTACGCATCTGATGCCCAACAAATCGAGCTAAGATGGAGAGGATCGTGTCCTCCACCTTGTAAAGTATATGTTGTATTTACTCGCGAAATTCTCGTACTTTTTATTCGTGGATGAAAAGTGCGAGACTGCGACAATTATGTGAAGAAAATTTTTCATGAAAACTTAGAGCGCTAAAAAAAGAAATGAAAATGAAGCTGCCGCAAATTAAATTTGTCATGCCAGCAACTAACACAAGCTTTGAGAAGTACAGTGTAGCCCATTTATAACAAACCCACTTACAGCAAAATAGTGATAACGAAGTGATATCGATTTTCCATTCTAATTTCTCTATTTTCAGTGCCCTTTACGCCCAATTTTAACGAAGTATATAAACCAAACTCAGCGAATATAGCAAAGCATTTTTTCGAGAAAAAATAAAAATGCCAAAACATTTTTTTAGCTTTTGCATGAATCAAAACAGTAAAGAAATCGCTGATTCTTGGCTTCCAACAGCCTTCCCTGTCCTCCAATGTGTGACCCCAGCATCATTCGACCTTTCACTCGGCTCTTTTATGAAGGCTTGCTTCACCGCATCACACGGTCACCTGGTGGCCGTCGTCAAAACAAACGAACACTTCCTATTATTATTATTTTTTTTTTTGTGCCAGGCCGGCCGACTGCCGGGTAAAAGATTGCTGGTATTTTATCTCGTCACACTGCATACTATATCCCCTGGCTTGCTTCACAAGAACGCCACCCCACGCTTTGGGCCTTAGAGCCATCCTGGAGTAGCTGCATATGCTAGCTTTAGGTAGCAGAGTTGCGCCACTGTTTTCCGAGCACTGCTCATTTGGCCTTTGAGGATTTCAGCAACACTATTGGTAGAACACCATCATGTGGCCATAGGTGGTTCTTACGCACTGCAGAGCAGCCAGCACTACGAAGACGACACCGATGCTCCGCAGATTCCAGGCAGCTGAAGCGCAGTTAACATCGGCTGTTCTTGTTATTCTCACCGCGCTTCATCAGTACTGTAGCCACATTTCCTGTTAGTCACGAGAAATGTTAGCAAGTGCATTCTGTGTTGAATTGTACTACGCACAGCCTATGTGATTAGACGAGGGTGCTGCGAATTAGTGAGAAAAGAATAAACGCTCCGATCCTTTTTATCTATCCCTGTCGCCACAAAACTTGCACTATTTGTATTAAGGTACGAACACACTGGCGGGAAGCATGCCGCGGCGGCGTACCGCTCGTCGGTGCCTCCGTTCGGCAGCCAGCGGCACGCTGTCCACATTGGCGGCGCCGCGAGAAAAGCGAGGCTAGGATAGACATGTCGAGACGCGCGCACCCACCTGCTAGTTGCCGCCTCGCGGCTTGTCTTCTCTGCGTCAGACGGAGAGAGAAAAAGAAGTGGGTGAGGAGGCGCAGCCGATGTGAGAACGAAGGAAAAGCAGGCGCTCATTAATGGTTTGCTTGCGCGGTAGCCAGCGGCAGCAGCAAAAATAGCCCAGTGAGCGATTCAGTCGGCGGCAGAAATTCCACGATGCTCGGCAAGAAATTCCTCGACGCTCGGCGGGAGAGAAAAGCGGCGCGCAGCGAGCGGAGAGTGCGACGCCGCCAGTGTGTTTGTACGTTTACCTACAGATGCAATGAATACATTTCACACACAGAGTTGGTCAGCATGTGTCGGCTGCATATGTGCGAATTGGTCTGATGGAAAAAAACGCTACAAATAAAGGAAGATCTCGAAGTTAAACTAGAATTATTTGAATCAGCAAGCTGTCGCACCTATCGGGTAAATTTAATGCCATTAATTTAATGCCATTAATTTAATGCCATAAATTTAATGTCATTATTAAGTTAGTGAAGAGTGGCCGATTGCAGGCTGACGTGAGCAAGGAGTTCGGCATTTCCAAGCAAACAGTTTCCGATTTCCTGAGGAACAAAGACAAGATCTTGGAAGCGGCCGAAAAACCATCTGGTGCCCAAAAGATGAATGCAAGCCAAGGTGTTCATCCAAAGCTTGAGAACGCTCTCGTCGTGTGGCTTAATTCAATGATTGCCAAGCGGTTGCCAGTCTCAGGCTGCATCTTGAAACAAAAAGCGGAAAATCTCGCGCTTCAAATGAACATCACGGATTTTAAGTTCAGTGATGGATGGCTGAGAAACTTTAAGCATAGGAATGACCTCAAGTTCAAGAAGATGTGTGGCGAAAGCCGCGCCGTCGACAGTGCAGTTATTGTGCAGTACCGCAGTGAAAAACCCGCTGTCGGCTGCATGCATTCTTTTTTAACGGCTCTTTTCAGAGCTACCCTACTGATGCTTTGGCAGAGTTCCGGAAGTCTGGTACTTCGATTTTGACCCTTTTGATCTGAGAAATATCAATGAAATGGTGCATTTTTTGCTTGCATTGAGAAATATTAGCAAAATGGTGCATTGTTTTTGCTTGCATTGAAAATTATCAGTAAAATAATCCGTTTTGTTTTTTCCTTGCATTCACGTTTTCGGACTGCCCAAATTTTCGGACGGTTTTTTGCTCCCAAGAGGGTCCGATAATACGGCAGTTGACTGTAATTTAAAAAAAATCACAGGTGCCACATTCTTGACACATACGCCGAGAGAGGGATATCTACAATGCTAATGAAATGGGGCTGTTTTTTCAGTTACTGCCGGCAAAAACTCGTGGTGAAGACTGATAAATGCGTGGGAAGAAAAAACAGCAAGAATCACATCACGATGTTGGTGTGTGCGAACATGGATGCAGACAAGCGGCCCCTATCGGTGTTCGGCAAGCATAAGAAACTGCGGGGCATTACCAAGGTGCTGTCAATGCTAGTAGCGTACCCACACAGCACCAAGGCATGGATGACGGACTTTGACAAGGAAATGAGCTGCTCGTGCTGCCGTCGCCAGTAGCAAACCCAAAACTCGTCGACTCTGAGGTGCTTACAAAGGCAGCCCTGTTGTCGTTGTTTATTGCATGATTAATCACTTTCAACATGAAAGCAGCTGTGTAACAATCGTGTCGCCCCATTGCGTAACCACCGACCGGACACAACGTTCAATACACACAGCAACGCGTACTTGCCATTTTGGCTTGGCTTAGATTAGACTGAGGCTCGTGCCATGACCTCTGAGATCGGTAGCGCAGGCCGTTATCTCGAAGGCCACGCTTGTGTGTTGATAGTATGCAGCATGCTTAAGAGATGGCACCAGGCTTTTGTGCGCTATCATCATCAGTGGTTTGAAAGACTAGACGACATTTATTTTGCAATTTCTGAGGGTGCGATAATTGCTTGCATATTTTTGCTAAGCAATGCAGGGGGTGCGATAATTATGCAAGTGCAAGGAATGCATGAGTAAATACGGTATTTGCAGACACTAAAGCCACTAGCAAATAGTGTCTCAACGGTATCAACGCTGAGACCTTTGACGTAATCAAGAAGTGCCACCTCAACCTGCAGATATTTCCCAGTCGTTTAGGCTTGACCCGCCATGTTGGTGGATTTCAGTTGCTAGTGCTGCCGTCGCCAGTAGCAAACACAAAAGTCGTTGACTCTGAAGTGCCTGACAGCGGTCCTGTTGCCGTTCTTTAGGGCATGATCAATCACTTCCAGCTTGAAAACAGCTGTGTATTTTCCGTATCAACCTATAGCGTACCCACAGAACAGACTGAACAACATACACTAAGCCCACTACATGCACGAACACACGCCACAACAAATCTTGCTACTCGAGCACTTGCTACTCATGGCTTGGCTTAGATTCGATTAGGGCACTGTGGATGAACTGAAGGTACAGTCACTACACAGGACACTGTAAAACTATCTCCGGAGACGAAAAATGTCATTAAGAGATGACAAAGCATGAAAGCTTCAAATACAACCGACAAAATAGAACTAGTGGAGCTTTCGAAGTTAATCAATAGGCGTAAGGTAGCCGACATCAGAAGGTATAACATGGAGAGAATCAAACAGGATGTAAATAGTGGCCATATTCATACTATCAATCAGGTAATAGAAAAACGCGCGGACTACAACCAATTCCTATACATAGCCTTCATAGATTACGAGAAGGCATTTGATTCAGTTGAGACATCAGCAGTAATGCAGGCACTACACAATGAGGGAATCAAAGAACCCTACATAAACAAACTGGAAGAAATCTACAGTGAATCCACAGCCAACATAATTCTCCATAAAGAAAGCGACAGAATCCCAATAAAGAAGGGTGTAAGGCAGGGAGACATGATCTCACCAATGCTATTAACGGCGTGTTTACAGGAGGTTTTCAAGACCCTAGATTAGAAAGAGTTAGGGATAAGAGTTAATGGACAGTATCTTAGTAACCTACGACTTGCCGATGACATTGCCTTGATGAGTAATTCAGGGGACAAATTACAACTAATGATTACAGAGCTGCACATGGAAAGCAGGAAAGTAAGCCTGAAAACAAATATACACAAAACTAAAGTAATATGCAACAGCCTCGGCAGAAAACAGCACTTTGCGATAGGTGGAGAGACACAGGAGGTTTTAAAAGAATATGTCTACTTAGAACACATAGTAACCATAGAGCCGAACCATTAGAGTGAATTAGAAGAATAAGGATGGGGTGAATCACATTCGGCAAGCATTCTCAAACATTGAATAGTAATCTGCCACTAACCCTCAAGAGGAAGGTGCATAACAGCTGCATCTTGCCAGTACTTACCAACAGAGTAGAAACCTGAAGGCTTACAAAGAGGACTCAGCTTAAATTGAAAACGCAGCGAGCGATGCAAAGGAATACGATAAGTGCAACCTTAAGAGACAGGAACAGAGCAAAGTGGGTCAGTGAACAAGCCGGGGTTAAAGATATCATAGTTCAAATCAAGAAGAACAAATGGACATGGGCCGGGCACGTAGCACGTAGGCAGGATAACTGCTGGTCATTAAGGGTAACTGACTGAATTCCCAAAGAAGGCAAGTGCACGAAGTAGAAGAAGAAAGTTAAATGGCCGATGAAACTAAAAGTTCACAGGTATAACGCGGCAACAGACACCTCAAGACCGGGTTGATTGGCGGATTATGGGAGAGGCCTTTGCCCTGTAGTGTGCATGGTCAGGCTGATTATGATGATCATGATGCATTAGTAGTATGCATCATAGAGTTTCCTCAAATTAACTAGACGGGACTCTGGCACTGCAATCATTCAGCCACCATGGGAATGGTAGGTAGTACACAAATTTGCCTAGTCTTTGTGCTTGTGGGCTTCAAATGTACTTGTAGCTTCGGTTATTATTGTGTATTGGTTTTATTTCGAATAAAAGAACGGACTCTTATGAACTTCATGATCGGATTTGAATTAGTGAGACTGAAAGTTCAAGGTGGTAAAGCGCAACTACAAAATATTTTTGATGGTTGTTTCATCAAAGCAGCTCCAAGCCACACTAAGCCAAAGGGAGCCAAAAGTATGAAGACTAAACTAAGTTGTGTACTTCCCATAATTTCTATGCTGCTTGAGGTGCCACGCATTCCAGCTCCCATAGACACTAGAGCCAAACTTCCCTCTAGTGTATTTGTAAGAAATTCTACTGTGTGCAGGATGCTTAAAAGATGGTGTTAGGCGGTCATGTGCTATCATCATCAGTGTCAGTGATTGGAATTAGCAAATGACATTATTGCTATAATTTTTGGGATGCAATAATTAGTCATGGAAAAAATTGTTTGTTTATTTGTTTGTTGGCCAATGCCGGGGGGGGGGGGGGGGGGGGGGCAAAAATTACGTGAGTAAATACGGAGTGTGCTTTTAACGTTCGCAAGTGTTAGCCAGTGTCACTTGTAGCCCAGGCAGTAAGAGTGGACCCCTCTTTTTGCCAGAGAGCATCACGTGGCGTGTGATCTTCGCATGATGTGACAGCCGACCAATATTGATCCTCACATGCTTCCTTAGGCATTAAGTCTGCCGGGATGAAGCTCTTACTATAAAGATACGAAAGAAGAGACAAAGGGCAATTTCCAGATGAGGTCTTTCACTAATGCCCAATACATGATTAAACAAGGCAGATAATCATGCACAATCCCCTGAGTGAGGGTTGGCCAATTAAACGCCAGCTGTGAAATCTTTCAGCAGTATTGCAACTGGTACAAGCAAACATGAAATATCTTTCATGCCTGTCACAAACAATGGAATACATATATTCACCTTGGAATGTCATCTTTGAAATCATCCTTCCACGTGAATTTGTCAGCATACCCACAAGTAGCATTGAACTGCTCTGCACCTGAAGCATAAAAGGTGGAAAATACAAGTTTATACAAAAAACCAACAAACAATGCTGCAATTAAGTTCTGAGAAGAACATCAAAACAGCCATTGATTGATAAAACAGTAAAAAAAAAGCTTTTGTACTTTTCTGATAGCAAAGCATAGATAATTAGCTGACCACCAAGCTTTCTTGCATTGCCTTTTTAATCTAAACTACTTTAGCTCACAACGTCCTAATGATGTAATGTACTTTCCCAGCATGTCTTGTTTTTTCAAAAAATTTACGCCACCGAAGACAACCATAACTATGATTGCTGGCAATTATAACAACCAAATGAACACTCTGCAGGAAGCTATCGTGGGAGTATGATAACACACTTACAACAAGCAAGCTACTACTTTACTCATTAGTCCAAGTAAACTGTTTGGTATATCTTGTTTATTTCTGAATGCAATCATATAGTATTTTGATTGTTAATAAATGATCAACTAGCCTCAATTGCACAGTGTAAACACTTGTTCACAGAGCCACTGAAAAAAAAAGACATCAAACCATTAAAACAAAACGTAATGAATTAGGTTTACTTGAAACACATACTTGTGGTGCATGTTCTTACAATAACTTATTTTACATTTGAGTTTCGACACATTCCTCTGCCCTTAATTGAGCAAACAGGTGATCTTGCTGGCATATTCAATGTACCTCATGAGAGTTCTAAATGGGTGTTGGGCTTAAGTGTAGGCACAATCAGGTTTTTTTAAATGAAAATCACTATGTGGGGTTTAACGTGCCGAAACCACCATATGATTATGAGAGACGCCTTAGTGGAGGGCTCCAGAAATTTAGACCCCCTGGGGATGTTTAACGCGCACTTAAAAATCTGAGCACATCAACATACAGCATTTCTGCCCCGTTGGAAATGTAGCCACCGCAGCTGGGATTCGATTCCGTGACCTGCGAGTCACCAGCCGAGTACCTCAGCCACTATACCACTGCAGCAGGGCATTTTTTTTTTCAAAAAAAAAAAAAGGAAGAAAAGTACAAAGAAAATACATAAACATATCAATGGTAGCCAGTGAGCGAGTGAGTAAGAGGAATCAAGGAATAGATCAATCAGAAACTTGATTTGTACAAAATATCTTATTAGGAGATCCCCTGGGTCCATTGCAGTGACGTGATCGACCAGAGCCACTTCAGCGCAGCTTCTGGAGCAGCTAAAATATTGCAGAGGAGCAGTGTAACAACCTCTTGAAGCAGTCCCAAACGTTTTCTAATGCAAATACTTGTTGCTGAGCTTGATCAGTTGTATTGCATGTTTAACAAAATGAACATATGCACAAACACATGCATATTTACTTAGAATACCCCAAAAGATAAAATTCTGTTCCTAATCACCATTTTTTTGAAGACGGGCCTAACTTTCTTTGGAGGTAGGAGCCGCAATTTTGAAAGTGCTTGGGGCCTGTGTGCCTAGATTTAGGTGCACATTAAGGAACCCCAGGTGGTCCAAACTTTCAGAGCCCTTCACTACAGCATCTCTCATAATCATGTGGTTGTTTTTGGACGTTAAACCCTAACAATTATTATTAACTTTCCTTGAAGCCACGACCTTAAGCCACCTGGAATTTTCTCAGAATCCACTTTCCCAGATGCTTCAGATATAGTACTGGATGCACAATCTGTAAATAATTTCTAAGAACTCTGTTTATTATCCAGAAAGAGTATTCTGCAGATGTTCATACCTTCAGAACAACCTAGGGCTTCGCTGTGTGGTGAAGTGAGTGATATGCGGGGTTTAACGTCCCAAAACCACCATGTGATTACGAGAGACACCGTAGTGAAAGGCTCCAGAAATTTCGACCACCTGGGGTTCTTTAACGTGCACCCAAATCTGAGCACACAAACTAGAGCATTTTCGCCTAAATCGAAAATGCAGCTGCCGCAGACGGGATTCGATCCTGCGACATGCGGGTCAGCAGCCGAGTACCTTACCTACTAGACCACCGCGGCGAGGGGTGTGGTGAAGTGCTCATGGTAGTGCTTTAAGGAGTGAATCATGAGGATCCCAGTTCATAGACTGTTGATAATATACAGGGTTTAATAATTGGTCCTTTTTGTCAAGAAATTTAATTTATGCTCCACAAAATTTGCAGTAATGCGGTGCTTCGCATTTAACTTTGGCAAGTTTTCAAAAACGAAGTGTTGCTCCATTTGAGTAACATGACTATAATACCGGAATGCTGGGACACCATGCCTTCTCAGCAACATCACACGGACTAGTGCAGTGAGTGGTATTGTCGACCAAGTCCAGTGATTATACAGTCAGATACAACATTAGGAACCTTGCAAACTTCTATAGAAGTTTATCACAACAAATAGTACAATTTGTTTACAGCAAACTAACTATAATGAAATAGTACATTCAAGCACACGCACTGCTCAATGTAGCTTGGTCTGAAACAGTTGGAAGCTACCTCACTGAGCATTAATGTCAAACAGTAAGGCCTCGTAGAAGTAGTATAAAACTTTAAGTGAGCACCATGGGTGAGTGAGTGTAAATGGCAGGATTAGGTCTAGCAACTACTTTAACCATGGAGTTTCCTATTAATACACTAGAGAGAACTCTGGCACCAGTGTCTATGGGAGCTGCAACACACAACGCTTCAGCCAGAGTAGAAATTATGGGTAGTACATGGATTTGTCTGAACTTGTTTTTTTTCGGCTCCATTTGGCCTTGTGCTGCCTGCATCCACGTTGTCGCAAAACGAAGTTCAGCAAACATTCAGCAGCTCCACTTCACCATAACCTTATTAGGCTTACCATTCAAATCTGGTCTCCAAGTTCGCGGTGGCCCCCTTTTTTTTTATGCGTAACGAACACCTAAACAGCACAATAAACAAATCCACAAGTGTGGTTGAAGCCATAAACACAAAGATCAGGCAAATCCGTGTACTACCCATCATTCCCATGGTGGCCGAACGAACGCGGCATTTGAGTTCCCTCTAGTAAACATTGTAGGAAAGTCTACAACTTCAACGACATTGTGCACATTAGTATGCTCCAACGAGCCCTTGAAATTACAGTGGTAGCTTAGAGTTTGCAAGAACACTCAGTGTTCTTTTATCCGAAAGACAGCTGAAAGAGGTAATAGCGCAGGCTCGGCACAAATTATGTGATTTCTGCAAAAATGTACCAGAATGCAGCGAATTTTACCTCGTGGGCCCAGTTGGCATGATTGGCACAGCTATCTTTTCATTGCAACAGTCAAGAAGCTCGTGCTATGTGTACAGCCTAGCACCAAGATTGTGCATACGTACGAAATGCAGAGAAAGCAAGAATAATAAAATAAGTGTTGGGAAAACTACACTTCAATCATACAATACTCATACACTAATAAATACATGTTAGTATTAACAGAATAGTATAAGCAGCCCACTTCGACAGGTTCAGCTTGAAAAGTAGTGCATGACGTGGCTGCTATGCTGGCATGGCATGCAACTCAACTGATGTCAAATGACTTTGATGTCTCCGAGGCACACCAAACAATTTATTGTGTGGTGTCAACAATCGAGATTTGGGTTTACTATAAAGTCAACGCAACAAAAGCACATCATTCCCATCACACCTGAAGTACTCAAGAGAGAAATACCTGCTGGCAAAGTCATGGCAACAATTTTTTGGGATAGTGGGAAACTTCTACACGATTTATGCCACATAGAGTAACCCCGTGTTTTGCAGGAGCCTATTGCAGGAGCCTTTGCAGGAGCCTATCATATGAAATGGACAGGAAAAGGTGATGGCAGGTACGATCAGTTCATCGAGATAATGCTCCGTTAATTCTATTGCTATTCTAATGCTCCGTTAATTCTTGAACTTAAAATTCAAGAAGTTTGGCTTCAGCAGCGGATCCGACTCATGCCACAGTCCTGGTCAAGCTGTCTTTAAAGCGTGTGTCTCAAACTCTACACAAAAACTTCTGCACTTACACTGCTCTATCTTCAACTGCTGAAGAAACAGCATAGCTGCAGAGGTCTTGTTAGTCAAATGCAACAATTTTACTGTGACATTTGTTAAAAACACAAGACTGGGTTCAATGTGGCTGTTTATCTACCCTTTCCTGTCTCTGCCATATCGTTATTACTAAGCTGTCACCATTCACAGATCGTGTTTTCCTCCTCAGCTTTGCCATCACTTTACGTAGAAGAAAAGTGCAGCGTTGGCAAAAAACCACTATCACCCGCCCATCCCCTTATCACTAGTTAGCAAGCCAGCCCCAATGTACTCGGCTGTCATTCGTGTCTCACGTGGTTTCAGACTATAAAAAGACCATGTATCAAGGAATAAACTGTTCAGTTCATGTTGCCACTACGTTGCGTCACTTCAGTGGCGACGAGAGTGGGACCGAGGCCGCCGAAGTTTGACGAGGCAGCGAACAGCTGGGATGCCTACCGGGTGCGTCTCGAGGCCTACTTTGAAGACAATGATATCACGGACTCCTCAAAGCGCCGGGCACTCTTGGTAGCCTCACTCAGTGACAGCGTGGTTCGAGTCAATCAGGGACAATGCTTGTCGACACCCGTGAACAGCCTAACGCACGAAGATGTCTCAAAGGTGTTGGGAGAACACTACAAGCCGCAGGTGAACGAGACTGCGGCAAGTCACGCATTTTTTGTGCGGAGACAACGAGACGGTCAAAGATTTTGTCGCAGACTTGCGACGTCTTGCAAAAGACTGCAACTTTGGCAACTTTCTGGGCAGAATGTTACGTGACCGGATAGTGTGTGGCATACAAAAAACGTGCCTCATTCCGGTATCTCAATATGATATAAATAGAATTTTAACAACAACAAAACGTGAATTATGCCTGTCTACCTGGTTCACAGAAAAAACAACAACAAAGGAATCGATCCTATATTCTGTTGATCCTAATCTTCAATATCAATTAGACCGTGACCTCCCAAGCCGTATCGACACACTCATTCATCGCCTACGACTCGGAACTGCTTACACAAAGCA